TTATGATTCACCCAGAAACAAGTGAGGTAAATGAAATGGGTAAGCTGATTGATACCATCTGTATGTCATAAATGAAATATCTCACAATGTAGCAGAATTATGTCTATGTGTGAGTCCTTGAAGGTAATTCCAAAAGAAGAATCCTGTAAGTGTTTGATTAATACGTGTGTTTTAGTAAGAATTATATGACTCCATGGTAGAGAGAGGACGATTATTTTGAAAGTCACCTTTTACTTGGAATTTTAAGTTCTGGTACGTTTACTGAGAATGTCAGTTTCTTTGCTGACTTGGTAAAAATTTGGTACAACTAAGAGTACCAGATGAAACAGAAGTTAGTTTCTCTCAGTGTACAAGGAGGCAGCTCCATGGAGTCCTTAGGAACTCACATTCTTCCAGCTCACTGCTCTGCCATCCGTGGGATATGGCCGCCCTCATCCTCATGTTGCAAGCCATGCTCTGACTATCACATCCATGTGCAGGCAGCAACATGGAGTAAGGGAATAAGAAAGGACACACGGTGCTAGAAGTCTAGCAATCCCTGGAGGGAGGCTCCTACAAGCTGTCCTGTGAGGGCTCCACTCATATCTCATTGGTCAGAATCTTATCACATGGTTCTCTGAAAAGGAGGCAAGAAAATGGAGTCTTTAACCCAGGTGGCCATGTGTCCCGATACAAGCAAGTTTCTATTACGATGGAAGCACACAAGGGCTGACCTTAGGGTTAACAACTCGTAACCTACGCCACAATTCCTTTTTTTGTTTTTTGAGATGGAGTCTCACTTTGTCACCCAGGCTGGAGTGCAGTGGCTCAATCTCAGCTCACTGCAACCTCTGCCTCCCAAGTTCAAGTGATTCTCCTGCCTCAGCCTCCTGAGTAGCTGGGATTATAGGCATGAGCTACCACATCTAATTTTTTTTTTTTCGTATTTTTAGCAGAGATAGGGTTTCACCATGTTGGCCAGGCTGGTCTCCAACTCCTGACCTCAGTGATCCACCTGCCTTGGCCTCCCAAAGTGCTGAGATTACAGGCATGAGCCACCCCGCCTCATAATTCCCTGTACTTATATCTGACATTAGGGTGAGCTTGAAGGATGCAATGGTATTACTTGCCACAAATCCTCTTAACAGAAACAATCTTAGTTCTATTTATAAATCACTTCATAAACATGGAACAAGAAATGATGCCATGTGCATTACACATACATATTTTAATTCTCCTAACATATATAATTCCATGCAAGTAATACCTATTATATAGGAGCTACTGTCCTCAGTTTACAAATGAGAAGATTTAGAGATTAGCCAGGGAACACCCACCTCCAGATCCTGGGTTCTTAACCACCCACATTATTATTCCCTAATAAGGAAAAAAGCTTTTTATTTTTTATTTTTTTTGAGACTAAGTCTCACTCTGTCACCCAGGATGGAGTGCAGTGGTGCGATCTTGGCTTATTGCAGCCTCCACCTCCTGGGTTGACCAGGCTGGCCTCGAACTCCTGAACACAAATTATCCTCTTGTCTTGACCTCCCAAAGTGCTGGGATTACAGGCATGAGGCACCAACACCCAGCCACATCTTGATTTTCTGCTAGAACTCTGGAACCCAAACATTAGTTAAATGAAGAATGGAGGAATGCTAAAACCGTTTATTTAACAAAACAGAAGTGCCTACTCTAAGCAGGGAGCCCGCAGAGTGGACGAATTTGTTAACTCCAAGTTAGGACGAGAATCCCCCAAGATGAAGTGCAGCCTGGCCATGTCGTCCAGAACCATTCCTTGTCACTCCGCTGCTGATGACTAATTCCCCTCATTCTACCAGTATGGACCAAGAGGAGAGGGAATGAAAGGAAGGAGGGAAGAGAGGAGAGAGGGAAGGAAAGGAGGAAAGAACGGGCAGGGAGAAGGGAGGAGAGGAGAGGAGGTAGAGTTTCTATGGCTGGATCAGTTTCACTGTCGGCCCAGCCTGGGGCTCCCTGTTGGGAAAACCAGCCCAGGATGTCTCAACATTTCCAGCACTGGAGAGTCACACCTCTTGTCCTTGGAGCAACATATTCTCTCCAAGCACTTGAGTGAACCTTTAGAAAGAGGAAAAAGAACAGTATTCTCTTACCTGTTTTTTTCAACAGAACATGCTGAAAGCAATTTTAGTACAGAAAATGACTAGCGGCTGAGGATTGCCTTTTGGTCTGACAAAACTTAAACCCCACTTGTCTGGAGACACTGTGTTCTGTGAAACCTGTCATCTTATTTCTTGCTCAGTATCTAAGGATGATGACAAGGACTCAGACAAGTGTCAGTCTGGGAGAAGAGGCCTCTTAGGCGCTGAGTTTGAAGCTGTTCCCTTAGATCCCTGGCAGAACTTACTTAAGTGCTGTAAGACCTCAAACCCTGCACTGTTTTTATGAAGGAAGAAGAGCGTTAGTGTCTGCAGAAACCTAAAATATCCCTACAGAATAAAACTTCCAATCACATTTTCAGAAAGCATGTGTACTTTTATACGTGAGGGTTGTAAAATAGATTGTGACTCTTGGGGAGAGCAGAACAATGAACAGTGGGTGGGCAAGGAAGGCTAAAACAGTCAGAGGCTTGTTTCCAAAGCCCTTCGGCTGGCCGGGCGTGGTCACTCACACCTGTAATCCTAGCACTTTGGGAGGCTGAGGCGGGTGGATCATGGGGTCAGGAGATTGAGACCAGCCTGGCTAACATTCTGAAACCCCATCTCTACTAAAAATACAAAAATTAGCTGAGTGTGATGGCAGTTGCCTGTAGTCCCAGCTACTTGGGAGGCTGAGGCAGAAGAATTGCTTGAACCCAGGAGGCAGAGGTTGCAGTAAGCTGAAATTGTGCCAATGCACTCCAGGCTGGGTGACAGAGCAAGACTCTATCTCAAAAAAAAAAAAAAAAAAAAAAAAAAAAAAAAAAAAAAAAAAGTCCTTAAGCTTAGGACAGACAATCCAACCTCATTTCCCTTTCCCCAGGAATCCAGAGGTGCCTTTAAAAAGTCCACTGCTCTAGGGGACTGCATGAGTTTCTCAGCTCGGAGACAATATTAAAGACAGGAGAGCAGCCTGGTGGGCTTTGCTGTCCCAGCCCCCCTGGAGTGTAAATGCCAAGTTGCTGATGAGTACAAGGCAGTGGATGCTCGTGATTCTTTTGCAAGTACTGTGCCTTTACATTATACCCTGTTTTAGATTTTTTGTTTCTATTTTTTCTTCTTTTTTTTTTTAATAGGGACGGGGTTTCTCCATGTTGGTCAGGCTGGTCTCGAACTCCTGACCTCAGGTGATCCACCCACCTCAGTCTCCCAAAGTGCAGAGATTATAAGCATGAGCCACCGTGCCCAGCCTCTGATTTTGATTTTTGAGACAGCGTCTTGCTCTGTGGCCCAGGGTGGAGTGTGGTGGCATGATCAGAGCTCACTTCAACCTTGAACTCCTGGCCTCAAGTGATCCTCCAGCCCCAGCCTCATGAGTGGTTAGGACTGCAGGCACACACCACCATGCCCAGGTAATTTTAAAACTTTTTTTTTGTAGAGATGGGTGTTTTGCCCAGGCTGGTCTTAAACTCCTGGGCTCAAAGTAATCCTCCCACCTTGGCCTCCCAAAGTGTTGGGATTAAAGGCATGGGCCACTGTGCCCAGCTCACTATACCTTGTTTTTAATGTTAAATTTTAGGGTCCAAGATCAACTCTTAGGAGTCCTCGGTTTTTCCTTCTATCTGTCAGGGATCATAGAGGGCAGAGCTGACACCCTTTACTCAAATACCACTCTTCACCCCAGAGCCTCCACCTCCGCCTGTATGTAGATTACTCTCACTCTATTCATTCTTTCGGTGGTTTGCATGTTCTCTCATTCATTTGCTCACAGTATTAGTGCTGGAAGCACTGCAAAAGTTCAGAGGAGGAGGAGGCTGGGGGTGGAACATTGCATGTGAATGGAGGGAGTAAGCAATTTCTGATGTGCTGGGTTAGCCCCCTCTGAATCCTGAACAGACCCTCGCAGAAGGTGCTCAACGAATTCTCCTTAAACTATCATCCTCTAGTAATCCCTTTTGGCCACATACGTAGGTGTCTAGAATAACCCAGCTTGGGGCATCTTGGCATCACGCAGTTGGTCTCGGATAAGACACTTGCAGACCCTAATTATGAGCCGGATGCCCTTTGCCCACCGCCGCAGACTACCACCAAGAAAAACTGTCGGACTGGAAAGTAGCTCCAAAGCAACTTGCCGAACGTTCTGGAACTGGAGCCTGGGAAGGGGCAGGTCCCCTCCTGGCCTGCCAGGTCCCAGAGAGGCTAAGTGTGTTTCCTGGTTTCCCTTTCCCTCTCTAGCTTCAGGCCACAAATACAGCCATCAGGCTGGTAGCACGAGTGCTTTTTCCTTCTTGCCACAGCCCAGGATGAGACTTTCTGCCTGAGAGAGAGACTCACTATTTCTGCCTCACTGATCCAGGCCTGAGCAGACCTAGCTTAACTGCTGTAGAGAGGAAAGGGCCTCTCCACCTGAGCACTGCAGCCCAGCGCACATCCTCCTTAAAGTGTTCAACTCTTGGGGTCTCTGAAGCTGTTCCACCAATGGCCCCTGGGAGGCGCTGCATCCCTCCGGGGCCCAGGAGTCCCTCCTGATACACGGAGCTGCCCACAGCCCTCCCCTCTCCCTCCCATCCTTCAGGACTGTTCCTCTGAGCAGCACTAGGAGCCGGGCAAGCAGATGCATGGGGGTGGCGGGCACACAATTCCATTCACTGTTTTCCTCTTAACAGACAATCACCCTAAACAGACCCCATGGCCAGCTGCCTTGAGAATAAAACACTTCCTGGTTCCCTGTTCTTTCCCAAAGTTATTGTTAATGGAAGATCTTCCCCATGGTAACAGCTGAGAGGCTGGAGGACGACCAAACCCTCAGGGCCCTCGTTCCACAATACTCGGGACTCCTTACTAATCCTCGGTGTTGCCTGATGTCAACATCAAACCGACACTGAGATGCATCTCCTCCTCCCGCAGATTCCATCGTCATCGCACTCTGGGTGAGCCTGGCGGCTTTCGTGATGCTCCTCTTCCTCATTCTGCTCTACATGTCCTGGCCGGGCTCCCCGCAGATGAGGTGAGTAAGAAGGGGTGTGGGTCTGTGGGTAACTCAGACATTGTCCAGTGAGTTAACGGTGCAGGTCGAGTATCTCTCATCCAAAATGCTGGGGACCAGAAGTATTTCAGATTTGGGATTTTAAAATATTTGCATTATACCTACTAGCTCAGCATCTCAAATCCAAACATCCAAAATATTCCAGCGAGCATTTCCTTTGAGCATCATGTCAGTGCTCAGTAAGTTTCAGATTTTGCAGCGTTTCAGATTTTCGGATTTGGGATGCTCGACCTCTGCCCCTACAACAGAATAGTATTCAGCAATGAAAAGGGACAGAGTCCTGATCCATGCTACAACATGGATGAACCTCAAAAACATCATGCTAAGTGAAAGAAGACAGACACAGAGTGGTGAGGAGGAGGACTAGGGTTGGTTGCCATTATGGACTGTTACGTCCCTTACTGACAGAACTCCATTCACACAAAACATCCATAGTAGGCAAATCCAGAGAGAGAAAGCAGATTAGCAGCTGTCTAAAGTGGTGTGGAGAGCAGGGAATGGGGAATGACTACGGAAGTGTTTCTTTTGGGGATGATAAAAATGTTCTAAAATTAAGCTGAGCATGGTGACTCATGCCTGTAATTTCAGCACTTTGGGAGGCCAAGGTGGGTGGATCACTCGAGGCCAGGAGTTCAAGACCAGCCTAGCCAACTTGGTGAAGACCCATCTCTACTAAAGATACAAAAATTAGCGAGGCGTGGTGGCACACACTTGTAATCCTAGCTACTCAGGAGGCTGAGGCAGGAGAATCGCTGGAACCTGGGAGGCGGAGGTTGCAGTGAGCCGGGATTGCGCCACTGTGCTCCAGTCTGGGCAACAGAGTGAGACTCCATCTCAAAAAAAAAGTCCTAAAATTAAGCCAGGCACAGTGGCTCACACCTGTAATCCCAGCACCTTGGGAAGCCAAGGCAGGAGGATCACTTGAGCCCAGGAGTTTGAGACCCTGTCTCCACGAATACATATATAAAATTAGCTGGGCATGGTGGTGTGCACCTGTGATCCCAGATACTTGGGAGGCTAAGGTGGAAGGATTGCTACAGCCTAGCAGGTCAAGGCTGCAGTGAGCTGTGATCACACCACTGCGCTCCAGCCTGGGTGACACTGCAAGACCCTGTCTCCAAAAAAAAGTTCTAAAATTAGATAATGGTGATGGTTGCACAACTCTGTGGATGTGCTAAAGACCACTGAATTACTCTTTAAGTGAGTCAACTTAGTGAAATGAAAATATATCTCAGTACAGCTGTTCGGGAAAATGAAGCCAGCATGACACCACGGGCATTAAGTCCTGCCGGCCAGCTCATCAGGAACATCAGAGCCTCACCTTTGGCCGGGCGTGGTGGCTCACAGCTGTAATCCCGGCACTTTGGGAGGCCAAGGTGGGCAGATCACCTGTCAGGAGTTTAAGAACAGCCTGGCCAACATGGCGAAAACCCATCTCTACTAAAAATATCAAAAGGGAAAACCCATCTCTACTAAAAATGTCAAAAAAAATTAGCCAGGTGTGGTGGTGCATGCCTGCAATCCCAGCTACTCGACAGGCTGAGGCGGAAGAATCACTTGAACCCAGGAGGCAGAGGTTGCAGTGAACAGGGCTTGCGCCACTGCACTCCAGTCTGGGCAAGAAGAGCAAAACTGTCTCAAAAGAAAAAGAAAGGAAGATGCCTACTTAAGCACCTCTGGTCACTATCTTATCGGATGCCTGCTGTGTGCACTAAACCGGAGGTGAAATCCAGGGTTCTAGGCAGCGATTGGAACCTGGCTTGTTTTCTGTTAACTCCTCTGTTAGAGGATTGGACGCCACCTCCAATGTTCCCTTCTAGGCGAAAGGGCCCCCACAGCTGCTGCTCTCCTAATGACTGTTCTTAGGAGGGACCCTATATCTTGCCATCGCTGACCAAAGAGGGCTGTCCAGTGCCCTTGGCAATGTGTGGCCCCACAAAAGGGCAGGGGCCAGTCCGATTCTTGTCTTTGGAATTTGGAATCTAGAAGCTGAGAGACAAACCTGGTGGTTGTGGGGCTGCCCTGAGCGGTCCAGGAGGAGGAGTAGGGCTGGGTGCTATTGTGGACCGTTACAGCCATTACGGACAGAAGTCTTGGGAACTGGAATCCCTAAGTGTGGGAAGCTGGTCAGCAGAAAGATGAGCCGAAGTGCTCTGAGGAAGAGCTGAGGGGCCTTGGAGCCCTGAGCCAATGCGTCCCATACCAGGTCCTACGAGGAGCGGTGGACTCGTGCATTCACACAGTGCCATAGTGTTCTCTGTTGCTGTAACAGAATACCTGAGACTAGGTGATTTATGAAGAAGAGGCTTATTTAGCTCATGGTTCTGAAGGCTTAGAAGTCTAGGAAGCATGGCACCGACATCTGCCCAGCTTCTGGTGAGGGCCTTGTTTTGCAAAAAGAACTTATCTAATTCAGTCTAGAGAAAAAGAGATTCATCCATTGGAACGAACTCATTACCTCTTAAAGGCCCCTCCTCCCAGTATTGCCACACTGGGGACCAGGCATCCACATGAGTTTTTGTGGGGACAACCACACCACAGCCCAGTGTCACCTCAAAGGGGCCTCTGATTCTCCCCGCCCCCACCTGTGTCACCCACCAGGGCTACACTTGCCAGGCCATTTCTGCTCACCTTTGGTCACATATGGAAGGTAGCTTTAGAACAATAAAGAAATTCGTTCACACTCTCGCTCTTTTTTTCTTCTTCAGAGACAGAGTCTTGCTCTGTCACCCAGGCTGGAGTGCAGTGGTGCGATCTCGGCTCACTGTAACCTCTGAGTCCCAGGTTCAAGCAATTCTCCTGCCTCAGCCTCCCAAGTAGCTGGGATTACAGGCACCCGCCACGACGCCTGGCTAATTTTTGTATTTTTAGTAGAGATGGAGTTTCACCATGTTGGCCAGGCCAATCTTGAACTCCTGACCTCAGGTGATCCACCCGCCTTGGCCTCCCAAAGTGCTGGGATTACAGGCGGGAGCCACTGCACCCAGTCTGAAATGCATTCTTTTCTTTCAGTTTCTAGAAATCACATTCAATTTAAGCACTTTTTTTTTTTTTTTTTTTTTTTTTTTTTTTTTTTNTTTTTTTGAGATGGAGTCTTGCTCCGTTGCCCAGGCTAGAGTGCAGTGGCGTGATCTTGGCTCACTGCAACCTCTGCCTCCTGGGTTCAAGTGATTCTCCTGCCTCAGCTTCCTGAGTAGCTGGGACTTCATAGGCATGCACCACCATGCCCGGCTAATTTTTTGTATTTTTAGTAGAGATGGGGTTTCACCGTGTTAGCCAGGGTGGTCTCGATCTCCTGACCTTGTGATCCGCCTGCCTCGGCCTCCCAAAGTGTTAGGATTACAGGCATGAACCACCATGCCCAGCCCATTTTAAACGCATTTTTACACCTGAGACACATCTGAGGGATAATTGGGTGATGTCACCTTTCTTTTCTACTCTTGTGAGGTGACCTGCAGCTGCCCTGTGCTGGGGAGTGTGCAAGGATTGTCAGTAATCCTCCTGATGCCAAGTTCCCCAGTCTGGTCTGGCAAGCCCAGGGGCTGCCCCCTCCATGCCCAGCTCCCGGGTGAGGCCTTCTGAGCTATTCACAGGGGCAAATTGATGACACTGTGTATCCTGACCAGACACAGTGCTTACTAAAGAAAATGCTCTCAGGGTACTTGGTAACAGACCTGGAATGCTCAGGGCAGCAAAGTGGATCCTTAGCAAGATTTAGGAGTCACTTCCTGAGGAGCTGACCTTCCCATGAGGAAGGGAAGGAAGGAGGACATTCTTAGACGAGTGCCATCTGAAAAGAGGACCTCTGCCCAGTGGGCTCATCACCTGGTACACTTCATTCATGTCAGCATTGTAACCACATTTAAAGTAGTTTTATACATCACCTTATTTCATCCTGAGGACATCTGTGAGGCAATATTGTCCTATTTTATGGATGACATTGAAGGCAGCTGGGAAGTGATGGCAGGGGCTCACTCCAGGCAGCCATGTCCACTGCCCCAGCACCTCCCCAGCAGGAGAATCCACCCAGGGAGGACGCATTTCTAGCCAAGTGTATTAGTCTGTTCTCAGCATCTAATAAAGATATATCTGAGGCTGGATAATTTATAAAAGAAAGAGGATAATGGACTTACAGTTCCACAAGGCTAGAAAGGCCTCACAATCATGGCAGAAGGCAAAGAAGAGCAAAGCCACGTCTTACGTGGTGGCAGGCAAGAGGGCACGTGCAGGGAAACTCCCCTTCTAAAACCGCCAGATCTCTCAAGACTTATTCACTATCACGAGAACAGCAAGGGAAAGACCTGCCCCATGATTTAATTACCTCCCACTGGGTACCTCCCACGACACGTGGGGATTATTACAATTCAAGGTGAGATTTATGTGGACCAAATCGTATCACCAAGATACAAGTTGCCTTGGGGTACAGATATAAAATGAGCTACACTCAGATACAGGGCTGGATGGGAGGCCAGCCCGCCCCTTAGCCTGATCCTAAATGAATATAGAAAGAAGTGGCCTCCAGGGAAAGACCCGAGGCCTAGTTCCCAACAAAGCACTTTCTCTCTTCTGACATTTCTCTAGAATGGCACCTTTGTGAGCTGGCTCACCCTTCTCAGAAATTTGCCTGTGTGGCCTTCTCTATGGGGTCTGGTCCGACGGCAGGTGTAGCGGGACAACCCCCAGCCCCGCCATGGGCTGTTCTGCAGCAACTTTGACGCCTGCCTCCCACTCTGCTTCTTTTCACAGGAACAGTCCCAAGCACCACCAAACATGCCCCTGGAGTCACAGCCTCAACCTTCACCTCTGCATCCAGAAGTGCCTGCCGTGCCGCTACCGCAGGGAACCCCTGGGGACCTCACAGGCTCTGGTGCGCTCAGTGGAGCCAGGGAGCAGAACTGGCTCTGACCAGCCGCTACAACAGGAGAGTTCCTCCACCTTGCCGCCGGGGGTCTTCCAGACCCACCCCACTCTCCTCTGGGAAATGACCCTCGATGGGGGTCCCGTCATCAGGAGCAAGCCCAGCAAGCCTCCCCCTGGAGACAGGACCTCTCAATTGCAGAACTGATGTCAGTGAATCATGGCCATAGCTGCGTGGACTGGTGAAATCAAACCAACCTGGACACATACGTCTTTGTTCTTCTTGGAGGCTGTTTGCATGTGGCAGAAAGGACACGTAGGTCAAGTGCAACTAGAGCATCCTATGCCTTTGACAAAGACTGCAGTGGCCCCTTGAGCACAGAGGTCATCCCAGGTATTGCTGATTTTATTGAGCACACTTAGCCTGCTTGCTTATGGCTTATGTTTGTTTAGGGAATAAGAAAATAAAATATATGCAAATCAAGAGGAAAGGCTGTTTGCTTACTAATCTTGACCATGTCACTTTACCATTACTGTGCAATGTGTTATCAGTCCTGAGTTCACCTGGTCCGTCTGTACCTTTGTCAAGATACAGGGTAAGTTCTCATCCAACCTCCACCGACACCCTCCGGCTCCCCCAGATGTGATGGCATCTGCCCCGCCAGGTCAGCTTGCTGCAGTCAGGGGACCTGAGTGGCAGCTTCAGCCTCCCCATAGCCTTTCAAAGACAGAGCCTGAGGAAGTGTCTCCCCTGGAGGGCAGGCAGCCAATCGCTGTCAGCAGCCAGACCTGGCAGGCAGGGCCTATGCCCAAATGCTGTCATAGAACACGAAGAGCCCTGGAAGCTGACAGCAAGGGTCTCCTTCTGGATGTGACTCTATGTGACAGTGGATGTGGGGGTCCCTGAAAGATCTAGTCCTCTAGTGCCCAGCAGCCTTGGCCCTGGAGAGGAGACAGCATCACACTGCAAATCCCAGAAAACCCACGTGTCCCCTACAGCTTTCAGGCAGGGAGGGAGTTGGTGGGTTTTATTTTTAAAATAACTGTGCGCTCCTCCTTTTTTTTTAACCATAGCACTTACAATATTTATAATTTAGCATTTTCTGTTTCAAGTCAGGTGAAGACCACGTACAATCTATTCCCCATGGGAGGAGATTCCCTTCCTCCACACTAAGTGACTGGAAAATACACCGACAAGATCAGGGCAGTGGATTTGGAAGGGAGAACAGAGAAAGCAGGACTGATGAGCTCCAGAGATGCAGAAACGAGGGTGAGCTGCTGGAAACGGGTCCTCACTTGACTGAGCTGGGACTCGGCTGCGGAGCCCTGGTTGCCGCCTGAGGTTGCATGTATTTGACTTGCTGGGTCCTAAGGACCCGGGAGGCAGCTCAGGCCTGGAGCCGGGGATGAAGCCGTGAAATTCACCCCGCCTGCTCACTGCCCCTCCCTGTGCCCCCAGAGGCACGGAGCTCAGGGATATTCCCCAGACAGTGTCTTTCCGGCCAATGCCCTCTGGATAAATGAGCAGAGGTGCCTGTAACCAAAGGAGTCCCCATAGGCATGCTGCGGAGAGGTGGATGAAGATAAAGGGGAACTAGGAAGAGAAGGCTTCGCTGGAGCAGTGCTTGCCTGAGTTCAGCTTGGACCTAAATGTGGAATTTCAACTTCAGGATAGTCTCAAAGAATAGTGTTGTAAGGTTTATTTGGGTAGGAAAGGGGACAGGGGAGGCAAGTGACCCTTGCTTTGTAGACAATGAGCCCTATTTGTGGTGAAGGGACTGTATGCTGATAAGCATTACTCATGCTTTGGTTAAAACTTTAAGTCACCAGCTGGGCGCAATGGCTCACACCAGTAATCCCAGCACTTTGGGAGGCCAAGGCGAGTGGATCATCTGAGGTCAGAAGTTCGAGACCAGTCTGGCCAATTTGGTGAAACCTTGTCTCTACTAAAAATACAAAAATTATCTGGGCATGGTGGCAGGTGCCTGTAATCCCAGCTACTCTGGAGGCTAAGGCAGGAGAATCGCTTGAACCTGGGAGGCAGAGGTTGCAGTGAGCCAAGATCACGCCACTGCACTCCAGCCTGGGCGACAGAGTGAGACTCCATCTCAAAAAAAAAAAAACACTTTTAAGTCACCTAAAACAGAAACTATTGTCAAGAACCCTGGTGGAAAAGTGTAACTGTTTCAGACAAAACTGAGGCGCGGTCAGCACTCTGTATGCTACGTGGCAAATGAAACCACCGCGTCCTAGGCTGCGGAGCAGACCCCGAGCCCCAGCTGTGCAAGAGAGCTCGAAAGGAACAGATAGAAATTTTAACGGACAAACACGAAATTTCATGATTTTTGTCAGCTGCATTACCAACTAATATATGATCATTAATAGTATAATTCTGACCTTTAAAATAAATGCAGAACATTTGTGGAACAAAAATAGCCTCCTAACATCAATTAAAGGAAAACACAAAAACCTTACAAAAATAGACATTTATTAAAACAGTTATAAAGTTCTAAACCCCCTCCTTGAAGTACAGCTTTAAAGATTACAGGCTTGTCTTCTCGAAGCAGAGGTCAAATCGCTTTCATACTTTAAGGATTCAGGGTAACATCCTTTTATTTAATAAAATAATGAACAACCACTGGCAGAAATTAACTTATTCAAAAAGTCATACTAAACTTTGTTATGACTTTTTATAAAAAAATAAATTTTGTTTATTTTTTTGAGATGGAGTCTTGCTCTGTGACCCAGGCTGGAGTGCAGTGGTGCAATCTCGGCTCACTGCAGCCTCCACCTCCTGGGTTCAGGCGACTCTCCTGCCTCAGCCTCCCCAGTAGCTGGGATTATAGGCATGCACCACCACGCCTGGCTAATTTTTGTATTTTTAGTAGAGATAAGGTTTCACCAAGTTGGCCAGGCTGGTCTCAAACTCCTAACCTCAGATGAACTACCCGCCTTGGCCTCCTGAAGTGCTGGGATAACAGGTGTGAGCCACAGCGCCTGGCTGAAAAATAAACCGTAAACATTTCTCTTCATTTTCATCAAAAAATATCTGACACCTTTTGACATTTCAGCTTTAACACGCATGAATCTCTTCAGCATTCAGAAGTGCTGCCTCAACTTGAGCTATTTCCTGTGAATGAGCTCCAAGCCCCTAGAGAGGACGGGCTGGCCTGACGCACTGGAGGGGCCTCATGGCCTGGGAGTCCCCACATTCCCTCCCTGCAACTCTGACGCTGGGCACACAGGCCCGAGTTTATCATTTACTGGCCAGTTCAATAAAGTCCTTCTCGTGCCTTCTCTGGAAACCCTTGACTCAACCAAACTTCTGGAAGCTGATGCTGTGCTCGAGGCTCTGGTCATCAGGGCGTACGGCGCCGGCCGGCAGAAGTCAAGCATCCGGGGCTGCACTGGCGACGTCCTTGCACAGCACCACGATAGCCTCCTCTTCACTGCTCAGGGCATCGTCTGCGTCCTCACACACCATCCGGATGTGGGTTAAGAGGGTATCCGGCCGCTGGGCCCCCAGCCAGACATCCTTTATGTAGAGGGACACCAGGAATGCTGCGGACGCTGAACAGGAGCCGGGGATAGGCCGTTAGAACGCACACATGCTCAGCTGGAAAACGGGTCATCCTGCCCACGACGTACCGGCTTTGCCAAGTGCCCAAATGAACCGCGCCACCGGCCTGCACAACTCAAGTGAGCTGACCAAGATGACAACTCATTCTGCCTTTGCTTAACTTTTGTGTTAATCTTTTTTATTCACTTAAACGTTTTTCTTTCTTTTTTTTTTTTTTTTTTTTTTTTTTTTTTTTTTTTTTTTTAAGACAGGGTCTCGCTCTGTCACCCAGACTGGAGTGCAGCAGTATGATCTCAGCTCACTGCAGCCTCGACTGCCTGGGCTCAAGCAATCCTCCCACCTCAGCCTCCAGAGTGGCTGGGACTACAGGCGCATGCCACCACGCCCAGCTAATTTTTGCAGAGACAGCGTTTCACCATGTTGCCCAGGCTGGTCTCAAGTCATCTGCCCACCTCAACCTCCCCAAGTGCTAGGAGTACAGGTGTGAGCCACCATGCCTGACAAAAATGTATCTTTCTTCTGATGAATGCGTATGGATCCCCTCAAAAAGCTGTTATAAAACAAGTCTCTTCCTGGTTCTGACTGCCAATGCCAAGAATGAGACTGAAGTTTGAGAAGAATTTCCCAGAATCGTCTCATACCATTTCTTCAGTGGCATGAATGAGGAGGAGGAGAAAGCTTTGCAGGCAAAAAGACTCAATTCCCCAACTGCGGCCAGACCAGAGGACGAGGTCACCCCTGCTACAGGGTGAGTCTACCCACTAGGCTGTGAGCCCCTCCCTCCCCTGCACCCCCACATTCCTCCATGAGAGGACAGCCCTCTGGGTTGCCACACCTGCCCCCCTGGAGCTCTCTAACAGCCCCCTGGAGCCTGTGCTGTTCATTCATTCACCCAACTCACTCATTCACAGTTAGGCTCCAAGAGACTGCCATGTACATAAACTCCACGTGTGCATCTGTACACATATGAGGCTACATGTGCACACACACGCGCGTGCACACACACACACACACACACACACACACACAGCTGGCCATATGTGAAGCAGAACTCATCACGTGGCCAATGGTCAGAAGCCCACTGCCCTGCAGGGTGCAGGGTCGCCAAGGTTCTGAGGGGGCCCTCTCTGCACCGTCAACGTGACCAGCACCAAGGGTTTCGCCTGCAAGCGAAAGCAAACACCTCCTTCCCTCCACGTTCACTGCCCAGTGGCAAGCTCTCTGCAACCCCAGAACCGTGGTGAGGAGCCGCCTAAACAGGCGCAACGCCCAGCTGAGGAAGGCGGCAGAAACCTAGGCATTCCAAGCACAGAAGTCACTTCTACCCCCAAGCCCACTCCTGCATCTATTTCTTCAGCCTCCAACAAAAGAATCAGGCTTACCTCGTGTAGCTTCATCCTTCTCACTCAGAGAAGACAGGCAGAGGGCCTCCATGGCCGGGTGGAAGGGGCTCCCTGCCCAGCCCTGGGCGGCCACCAGCTGCAGCATGACCGTGTTGAACAGGCAGGCCACCTCCTGCACGGGCCCTGCCAGCCCCTCGGCCCCACAGAGCCAGCTATACAGCTTGAATATGCTGCTCCGCAGGGCACTGTCCCTAACGAGGTCAGCCACGACCACAGGGTGCGGCAAAATGTGGCTCTGAAGCCAGCCAACGAGTCCTGCAGCCTCTGCCCTGCTGAGCGGATGCTCGGCCACCGACCGCAGCACCCAACTGACCACCAGGGAAGCGGCGGTGCACACGGGGCTGCGCACAGCGCTCTCGGGGCTGGCTGAGTCCACAGGCTCCTGAGTGGGGTCAGGACCCGGGATCACTGGTCCCCAGTAGGTCAAGATGGACCTCAGAAGGCCCTTGCATGTCTCCAAGGTAGACGCCATCAGCTCAGGGTCAGCCATCTCCTCTGCCTCC